AATAATAATAATAATAATAATAATAATAATAATGTTGGAAGGGACCTTGGAGGTTATCTAGTCTAACCCCCTGCTCAGGCAGGAAACCCTATACCTTTTCAGACAAATGGCTGTCCAGTCTCTTCTTAAAAACTTCCAGTGTTGGAGCATTCACAGCTTCTGGAGGCAGATTGTTCCACTGATTAATTGTTCTAACTGTCAGAAAATTTCTCCTTAGTTCTAGGTTGCTTCTCTCTTTGGTTAGTTTCCATCCATTGCTTCTTGTCCTGCCTTTAGGTACTATGGAAATAGCTTGACTCCCTCTTCTTTGTGGCAGCCCCTGAGATATTGGAACACTACTATCATGTCACCCCTCATCCTTCTCTTCATTAAATTAGACATTCCTAATTCCAGCAACTGTTCCTTATATGTTTTAGCCTCCAGTCTCCTGATCATCTTTGTTGCTCTTCTCTGTACTCTTTCTATAGTCTCAACATCATTTTTACATTGTGGTGACCAAAACTGGATGCAGTATTCCAAATGTGGTCTTACCAAGGCTTTGTAAAGTGGTATTAACACTTCACGTAATCTTGATTCTATCCCTCTGTTAATGCAGCCTAGCACTGTGTTGGCTTTTTTGGCAACTGCAACACACTGCTGGCTGATATTTAAGTAATTGTCCACTAGGACTCCCTCTCACAGTTGCTATTATTGAGCAAGTTACCACCTATACTATACTGTGCATTTGGTTTTTCTTGTCTAAATGTAGAACCTTACTTTTTTCACCACTGAATTTCATTTTGTTAGATAGCGCCCAATCTGTGAAGATCCTTCTGTATCTTAAGCCTGTCTTCTGGAGTGTTGGCTATTCCTGCCAGCTTGGTGTCATCTGCAAATTTGATGAGTTCCCATCTATCCCCTCATCCAAATCATTGATGAAGATGTTGAAGAGCACTGGGCCCAATATGTGATAAAGCTAAGTTTAAAACTGATTTAGCCAGTGCTGATGAATCAAAAACATTAAATTTAACTCTAATGAAGAGGAACCCATTCACATCTGATTCTGCAAACCACATAGTGTTTAACTTTGAGGTCTGTCTCTATGATGATTCATGACTGAATGCAATATATATGAAATCTGTCAAAATAAATCTGCTCACTGTTTTATTTAGAATTTTTAACAAATATAGGCTATTTTCAACAAAGATTAAATTGGTAAGAATATTGGATGAGAAGAATGCAGACTAAGCAGGGATTTTGGCAAATTAACCATGAGACAGAGATTGGTACCCTGAGAAAGAAGCCGGGTTGATCAGGCTTGATAAAGGGTCATAGGGATTGAAGGCTTTTTATACACTGAAGGGCTCTTCCATTAGAATTCACATGTGTCTCTCCAAAAAGGGATTGCTATTTGGAGATTCAGAATGCTCTAACTCTGACTTGTCAAAGATCTTAAGTACCTGAAGAGCTTTAATAACCAAAGTATAATTTCATAGTGATTAGTAATTTACATGAAATTAAGCATATTTCTAAAAGATTTTGCAAGATGAAAACAAAGGCATCAAAACTAAAGTTAAATACAATATCACAGTTATCAAGTACTGTTTTGCATGAAAATAAATCAGGATATTCTGTCACTTTTTGTGGGCTTTTTGCCCTCCATGATGGGCAAAAATAAGTGAACATAGGAAGAAAAACAAAATCCTTGATAAATTTGACTAAGAGCCCATTAGTTTGGGATTTGTTTCTGCGAAAACCAGCTAGGCAGGAGTACCACAAAGATTTATCATCAACTGGCATGTCTAGGTATATTATTTCCAATAGTGTACTGCAAAATTTATTTTATTGGGAGTTCACATGTATTAATAGAAAAACAAGAGCTGTGGTGGTGCAGTGGTTAGAATGCAGTATTGCAGGTTAATTCTGCTGACTGTTCGATCCTGATCGGCTCAAGGTTGACTCAGACTTCCATCCTTCTGAGGTCAGCAAAATGAGGATGCAGAATGTTGGGGGCAATATGCTGACTCTGTAAACTGCTTAGAGAGGGCTGTATATGAATGGCATATAAATCAAAGTGTTATTGCTATTGCTAATAAAGCATTTATAATAAAAATAACCACACCACAAAAAAAGAGGTCAGTATGAGAACATCAACAATTCCCTCAGAAGTATTCATTGTAAACAACTTGGGGAAATGCATAGAGTGGGGCAGATCAAATATTTAGGAAAAAGCTATTCAAAATATAATCAGACTCATAGAGTACTCCCTTACCTCATGAAGTGAAGGATCACAAGCAGGATGGTTGAGTTGGACAGCTCTAAATTGGGTAGAGATGGCATTCTTGCATGTATACATGTGCCAAGCCATACAGGACTTAAAAGGTCAACACACACATTGTGAATTGTGCTCAGATGTTAATAGAAGTCATGTAGGTCCCGAAGAACATACTCATGTCTTCATTTTTGCCAGAACCTTTCATCCAGTCCACAATCTGGGACCTTTTTTCAACATGGCAACGTATTGCCCCACTGTCTGTAAAAAAGAATGGACTACTCTAAATTGTTAGCAATATGACAGTTAGCCAACCTAATAAAAGAGGAAAAGTGACAATGTTTTGCCTCATTGATTACTATGGTGTACAGTGAGGGAAAAAAGTATTTGGTCCCCTGCTGATTTTGTACATTTGCCCACTGACAAAGAAATGATCAGTCTATAATTTTAATGGTAGATTTATTTTAATAGTAAGAGATAGAACAACAACAAAAAAACCAGAAAAATGCATTTCAAAAAAGTTATAAATTGATTTGCATTTTAATGAGTGAAATAAATATTTGATCCCCTATGAATCAGCAAGATTTCTGGCTCCCAGGTATCTTTTATACAGATAATGAGCTGAGATTAGGAGTACTCTTTTAAAGAGAGTGCTCCTAATCTCAGTTTGTTACCTGTATAAAGGACACCTGTCCACAGAAGTAATCAATCAGATTCCAAACTCTCCACCATGTCCAAGATCAAAGAGCTGTCCAAGGATGTTAGGGACAAGATTGTAGACTATCGCCAAGCAGTTTGGTGAGAAGATGACAACAGTTGGTGCAATTATTCGCAAAGGGAAGAAACACAAAATCACTGTCAATCTCCTTCGGTCTGGGGCTCCATCAAGATCTCACCTCATGGAGTTTCAATGATCATGAGAATAATGAGGAATCAGCCCAGAACTACATGGGAGGATCTTGTCAATGATTTCAAGGCAGCTGGTCACTAAGAAAACAATTGGAACACACTATGCTGTGAAGGACTGAAATCCTGTAGTGCCCGCAAGGTCCCCCTGCTCAAGAAAGCACATGTACAGGCCCATCTGAAGTTTGCCAATGAACATCTGAATGATTCAGAGGAGAACTGGGTAAAAGTGTTGTGGTCAGATGATACCAAAATAGAGCTCTTTCACATCAATTCAACTTGCCGTGTTTGGAGGAGGAGGAATGCTCTGAGAATTTTTCAAGGAAATGTGTTCCGGAAATGTCTTTGTATCAGCTTCTCCTACCTTATGTAAAACACATATTAGTTATCCATCCCTTGGATAAACTGGAAGATACATCAGCAGAATGATTTTTTTTATATTTTCTACAGAAGATTATACAGAATGTGGACTAGTGCAGCATTTTAAAAGATAGATGAGGGGATTTCATCGGAAATGAACTGGACTAGCACTTGGGGTTATGTGTTTTTTCCCTTTCTTTTAATTGATTTCATCAATTAAAATATTCAAAGTATGAAAAATGGACATTTCAAAGAAGTGATGTGGAGAGTGAAGGACTGACACTGTTTCTTATTCTTTTATATGGCAGAATTTGTTTTTTTTTCCCTTGCTGGTCTGCATTTCCTTAACCTCTAAGACTCACAGCTTTATTGCATATTTCATTTTTTCCTTAAATAACTCATTTATATAATAATGTGCCTTGAAATGTTGGAATGAGACAGACTTGATGTCATAAATAAATGTTTGTGAATTGATATAAAGTTAGAAACTTACATTGAAACAGATAGCTCTCTGGCACACCACATATGGAATATTTAAAAAGCCTGGGCCTAATTTAAAATGTAGTTTTTAAAAATTAAATGAACAACTCCCAAGTTTCATTTGGCTGCTCGTTGCATCTTGGGATAAGGTGCAGGCTGTTCTTTCCTTCCCTCCTCTTCACTTCCTCCTCCTCTTTCCTGTCAAATTGCAAATAATATGTGAAACAAATTAATGTTGGCTCTGTACTTCAAATTACTTATCCACATTTCCCATAAACAAGAGAGATTATTCAGCAATGACCCTGCTCAAATGAAGCTTTTTAAACTTCCATTTATAACAACAGGAAGGAACACGTGCTTACATTTCTCCTCTACCAAATTAATCAGCTGGGTTTAATTATGCTAAGGATTAGATTCCAATGAAGTTTTTCCTCCATGCAACATATTCATGAGCTGAGTTTAAAACTGTAAAGTTGATAAGGATATCTTGAAGCAATTTTTATTTAACAATCCTAAGGACAATGTACACTAGAATTCTGCATCTTTTTCTAAGCCCTCAAATTTGTTTCATTTGGTCCTGCCTGTATTTTATTGTCTGTTTAATATGCAGAATTGATTTTTTAATATTCATGAATATTGTGATAGAGAGATCTAGTTAAAAAACTAAAATGCTTGAGGTCATTGTGTGTTATAGCTCAATGGGTCTGTTTTTGTAGTCGTCTGGGTCTGTCTTTTCTTATTGCTGCCAAAGTATAAATAAAGTTCATGTTTACACAGCAGTAACCTTCCTGTGCCAAAAAGGCTTTCCTCAGGGTTTGTAATTGTAGTTGCTTTTCTCCTCTCCATTGCCAGATTCTACCATTCTGTCACTCTCATATATTGTCCTTGATTTTTTAAAAAAATTCTGTAAAAATTATACAAAACCCAGAAGTAGCCTTACACAAAATGTCCAATTATGCAGAGAGAGGGACAACAACAACAAAAAGAGTAACACACAAGGAAATTTGGATCTGCTTTTTTATGTGACCATTTCTTATGTTAGATGAACTTTCAATAGCAGAAAACAAAACAATAAATGACATAACACAAACTAGCTTGATCCAAGAAAATGCATCCTGAACAGTTCAATATTAGCTCCTTTTGATTTTTTGGGGTATATATAGCATATAATCACTACTTATCCCTGGAAAAGCACCTTGCAACTTTCAGCCACAAGGCTCTGATCCGTTAGTTCTTGAACTCTTAAAGCATGTGTTGGATTATGGATGTGAGTCATCTGAAGCTAAATTATTTGGGTAACCTGCAAGATCATATCTTATGGTTTCCCCTGGAATTTTTTAAAAAAAGAATCTTCAAACTGGATTTTTAAACAAAAGGAAAAAGTTGAAAGTTAAATCCAAAACAAGTTCTAATCTAAAATGAATGTAATTTCAACTTCATAAGTGAGATGGCTTTCAATGGCAGCTGTATTATAAATTCCCTGATGTTTTCAGCAGAATTACTGCAAGTTAGTTCCAGCTTAAATCAATTGATTATTTATGATTTAGCTCTTTATCTCTCTCTCTTTCCTTCCCTCCCTCCAATAGACTGATTCTTTGTAGGTACGAGCTCTGCAGAGGTCTTCTGTAAGCATAAATGGAAAGTTTTTTCTTCCCATCCCCTAGATCAGGTGTATCCAACCCATGGCCCACAGGCAACATGCAGCCCTGGACAACGAGTAAAGTGACTCCACAAGACACCCCCCTAAATAAAGGAAGTTTGTTATTTATATATATTAACTATATTATGTATTTTATATGTGGCCCAAAATAATTCCTCTTCACTCAATGCAGCCCAAGCAAGCCAAAAGGTTGGATACACCTGCTCTACATTGTACATTCTACTTCCCCTTTTTTCTGTCCTAATTATATGACTTCCTATCCATACTATACATAATTCTGTTCTTTTGTGGTCTTTCTTTTTTTCTCCAGTACACATAGTTGGATGAGACTTCTGCTTTTCATTTTCAACTAACTTTTTCCTACCTTTTAATCATCTTTCTTGTTTTTATTTTATTTTCTTCAACTCTGATTATCCTCTGCTTCTAATGTCATTTCTCATAGATTCTTCTCATGAAAACTCATTCTTCATCACCCCTTTTATGTTCCTTTTTCTTATTCTATGCAATATGTATTTTAATGAATTTTGTCATTAGTTGTCTTGTTGACTATGGATTTTTCTCAGTTTTCTGTTAATAACAGAAAATAATTCTAATAATTTTGTTAGAATTTAATCCCAGCCAGAATGAGTTGTCACTTAATACCAGACTTAAGTTTTGTTACCATTTAATCAGCTGCATTTTCAAAGCCACTATACTATGTCAGGCACTATGTCAAAGCTATCAATACTATAAACATCATAAAACATCAATACTATAAAATTTGAGATAATTCTTCAGAAACTCTATACAAATTTATGTCAACAAACAATTCATAATGTGGTTTTAAAACATCCTGTGATGTTATTTACAACTGTAATCAAAGAGGGTGTTTTTCACAAAAATAATTTCCATACATGGAAAACATGAGAAATAAAAATGAAGCTAGAATAATATTTTTTACTGACTTCTATATATAGACATTTTCCTCCTTTGGGTCAACTCATTTACTTTCTTAGAATGCCTTTTTTCTAGGATTCTGAAGCAGGAAAATTACAGTAAGATTACATTATTTAACTTTAGATTGCACCAGAAAATCTACTACATATCAAGCGCATTCAACTTCTGATTGCTTTCTGGAAGTAGAAATATATGTGCCTGAGGAATTACCATAGATAACTTAAAGTCATGGCAGATAAGAGCCCCCCTCTCCCCCTGATAGCTGAGTGAATAAAGTTAATCTTATACATTCTGTTTGATTGATGAAAATATTAGTATTCATTGGCTCAAAGTCAGATCTGCTCAGTACAAGCTACTATTAAGAACCAGCTAATACAGCAATTACAGTGTTTAGTAAAGATAAAAAAAGATTCAGGTTCAAATCTATGGTCAGTCATTAAAAGGATAACAGTCAGTAACTTCTCTTGGCAATAGGCTGTTTGGGAGAAGGAGGCTTTCGTAGTAAGGTGGGCATTGCTAACTTGGCACCACTTCCTTGAAGAGAGCAAAGTGCCTTTTGAAGTGTGGACTGATCATAAAAATTTAGAGGCACTGAAGACCCCTCAAAAGTTGTCCCCCAAACAGGTCCAATTGGCACAATACTTTAATCATTTTAACTTTACTTTAAAATACTTCCCCGCGGGAAAGAATGTTTTGGCTGATGCTTTGTCTCATCTATTGGAACCATGACCTTTGTTGCTGCAAAAATAAACTCTCTTTGTAAATATAAATGTGGGTCTGGAACAATGGTATTTTCTCCTCTTCTTTAAATAATTAGAATTGTTATCATATACTTACTAACCTGGAAGTCCATTCATGCTTATAGATATATTTCATTCTGGGCATTAATTAAACCAGCATTTGGAAAAGTGGTGGTTGGTGCTCACTGAGATTGGTGAGGCAGAATAAAAAACAATACACAATAAAAAGAGAAACCAGTTGATTTTGTGCTACCTTTACTATAATGACATTACAAGTATTTAAGCAATTGAGTATATATTCTTATTGATAAATTCCTAATTGGAATATATATTTGAAGGTTACTTGGGCTCAGTAAACTAATGTGATGTTTTCTTTATTAGAAAAAGAAAAGAAAGGAAGAGGAGGAGGAGCAAAAGAAAGGAAAAGAAGGATGGCCTTTTTACAATTCTTTTCATTCCAGATTATGTAGACAGGTCATAGAGATAAAATGGTGCAGAAGCATGCACTAGGATCATGCGCACCTGTTTGACCTATCCCAACCCAAAACATTAGCTGTTAGACATCTCTTTGGGCAGGGTTACCTCATGTCCTCCTTTATGTCTTAATAGACTTTTTGAGTATGTCTTCCTGAGTAGGTTTTTTTCCACCGTGCAGTGCTTCCCTAATAAATGCTAATGCCAAATTACCAAATTCAGCTCTGTGACTTTAATTAGCTAATCAATACCCTGTAGTAGGCTTGCCTTGCTGCCTGAAATTGACAAGACTTTAATCAGTTACACATTAAAGGCTTTTGCCTACTAACCTACTCTAGTACATTCTTGACATTAAAAAAACAGTCTTTCTAATGCTGGAAAAGATAATTTCATGCACAAGTAGGACTAAATACTGAGGGGGGAGTTATTTCACTGTAATTTTTTGCAGCAGATGCCAAGAAAGTTAAACAGTTAATGTGTCTTCCTTTTCCACCCATTTGTCCTCCTTTTAAATTGTCTGTATCCTCTTTTGCTTGTTCATATATCCAGTAAACCTGCCTTTTGGGATATATGGATGGCATACTTTCAGTATCTTGGAATGTGTACAGAGAGCTTCCGCTGTGGTTAGCTCTAAAGTGGATGGCTGGTAGAAAGATCAGTCTATTGATTCTGTACTCATCTTTAATTGGCAGGGAAGAAGACCCAAAATCACAGAAGGTTTAAAGACAGGACTTTGCCTAATCTAGGATATAGGGTCTAGACAGTTAAGAATCTATTACAATGAGTACATAAAATCTTTCTTGAATTGATCTCAGTTGAAGACCACCTGGACACATCCATGTCATTTAACTGCCAACAGGGGGCAAGTGGTTTGCCACTGCATTCTTCCTGGATATTTTTCAATATCTCAGTCCAGCCAATAATCCAGGGATTATTATCTGGTAGCTTCCACTGAGATACTGTCCAGGTTTGAGCCTTCTTAGCTCAATATACATATCACCAAACTGCTGTGATATTACAATGAAGAAATAACTAAGATGATATTTTAGATCACATGTCAATCCATTTATAAAAATCTATTTATTTATAACACAGAATACTGGCCTAGGAACTAGTTTTGAGCCAAGAAAACCTGCTACTACTTTTTTTGCTGGCAATTATCTTAGCTACCTCTTTGTATGCTACTGATTACTAGATTCTGTTGTGTAAATTTAATGTTTATTTCTGCTTTCTCTCTTGTATGTATTTCAGCATGAAGATAATTTTTTTTAAAAAAAGCTTCATTTGCTGAAGTTTTTTTTTAAAAAATAAGCATTGTTTCCCAACACTTTTAATTTTGTCTTCTCAAATAAGAATAGGTTACCTCTCTAAAATTCAAATCAATTAATCAAAAAAACAGCCCTTCTCCTGTCAACATTCACTAAAGATTGTAAAGAGATATTATTCTCTTTCTCTCACTAAAAGATTGTAAAGAGATATTATTCAAGACAGGTATTCTTCTGTCTATATCCCTGAATTTCACAGTAAAAAAAAAAAAAAAAATCCTGTTATGCACCACAGTGCAGTAGAGAATTCTTCCTTGTAGAACAAAGTTTATTTTCTCATATGAATCTGAACCAAATGCAACCTATCAGTAAACCATGTCCACCTATACATCCAGATACCAGACTGTTAATTCGTTGCCCTGAGGCAAAGGATTTTTCTGATTTTTCACTTACTGATTCAATGAAGATACATTATTCTGGTCTACCTTGTTCTTTTTCCCCCATTGCTTGTTCATAGGTGGTAATAATTACTTCCTTTTCTTCCCCAAATACCTTTAATACAGGAAATGTGCCTGTAAGCCTCTGTAGGGAGAAATTGGCTTATGAATTCCACAAAGAAAAAACCCCATCACATAATTATAAGCAGACAAACTGGCAGAAGGGCAATCTGGAAATATACTGCCCTTTTTTAAAATGAATCTCATGATGATGGTGGTGGTGGTGATGGCGGTGGTGGTGGTGGTGGTGATTGCACCTTATATCCTTCAATTATAGAGTAAAATCTGGAGATAGAAGGAACATGTTTTTTTAAAAAAAAATCAATAAAACAGACAAATGAGTAGATATGACCGTGTAAAATGGAGTTAAAAAGTATGATCAAACAGATGGCTTTTGCCAAAATAAAACAAATCTGTGTGTGCTATTCTATTCCAGTAGTTCCTCTGGAAAGACATTTTTATTTGAAGGCAGGAATCATATTTTCTTCTTTAAGTAATACAGCTTTATATTCTTATTTGATAGAAGTGCCAGTCTGAGCTTCTTTTTAAGGCTTTCTATATTCCCCAAGCTTAAAGCATGCTTTTGATTTTCTGCAGTTTTCTGCATTTTCTCCAAAGACATTTCTGTGATTTTCTGTAGAGGCCTATAAGAATAATTCTTCACTGCCTATGGGATTAGATCTCTGCCACTAAATCAAGTATAAATGGAATAAATGGATTTCCATCCAAAATTGTCCTTAGGATCTTGTTCCGGTCTGTGTAAATCTTTCCAAATTAACAGGTCTGAAGAAGTCCTGGGAAATTAAATATTACAATTTTCAAATTTTGATTCTGTGAGACACATGGCTTCTGTGAGACACATATTGTCAGAAGTAAATAAGGTTTTGATCTAGTCATACTGATAACATAGCATAAAGTACAATAAAACAATAAAGTAGAATTATAAAAAGAGTGCTAGATACTAAAGAACACAAAACAAGGCTACTGATACTATTATGAACTTAATAATTTATTTCTGCATTTAAATGATGACATAACAAAATTAGGAACCTGATTAAAAAATTGAAACTTACCTACAAACAGATAATTCAACAGTTCAAGGTCCAAACCTTGAATTCATCTACAATCAGTAATTTGCCCCTGATTTCATTGTAAATGGAGCAGTGGAGGATGTCATGAATTATATCCTTCATACAAAATCTCTCTTCAAGATATGCTGAAAGCATAGTCTGCAAGCAAGCAGATGTAAAATCTTTCCCAGTGGAGCATTGGTAATATTAACAAGATATTGGGGACGATTTTGTTTTCAACTGAGATGAAAGCAAGGTGAAAAGGTGGGTGTCTGCACTGTAGTAGCATCTTTATTGCATCTCTTTCAAAAAGCCTCTTTAATATTTTCTCTGTTTCAAGAGCTAAGTTCTTCCAAAGGGGTAATTACAAATAATGCCATGTGGAGAAAAATTTGCATGCCCTATGAAATTGTGTCTCTTAATAAACTAATAACAGGTATTTGCATGTCATTAGTTTTCTCTTCTTACAATATGGCTATAAAAGAAATGGCTTAGTGTAATAGTGTTGTTTATCTGTAGCTCATAGAAGACATACCTCAGGCAGTGGCAAACAGCAACCTACAGTATCTTAAAATCCAGGCAAGTGTCAGGCTTTCAGGACACATGATATGGTGTACTGAAAATTTCCTGAAGAAACCATGGCAACCTAAGATTTTAGATAGAGAAAGAAGTTGATGGTAATAAAAAAAACATATAAAATATATGCCACAGAGCAGTTGAGTATTCAACTATTTTGTCATAAATGTTGCCATGTCACATTAAATATGTGAGAGAAATGGAAAGAAAACTCTTTCCACATGGTGTAACTTATGGTATATATTAAGAGAAATATTCTATAATGACTTCAGTTTTTAAAAGTGACTCCTTTTCCCATTAGCTTTCTGACAATGGGTAGGTACGTGACTAAATTTAGCTTTGTTTCATGGCTTCTTTTCTCACATAGTAGACTGATTTAATATTGGCAGACATGTTGGCATATGGTTATTCACATATACATAAATTTGAAGGAAGAACTGGCAGCATAGATTTGGGGAACCTAACAAAACCAAATCATACTATTTCTAAATTGAGAAATGTCCCCTGAGACTGGAAAATAATTTGCAGTGCAGAAAAGGAGACAGCCCCTCTCCCAGTTTTTTCCTCAAACTGCCAATGGCATTGCACTCATGACCTAATATAGCCCATGAGAGATTTTCTATATTCTGTGAAGTTAGGATTCACAATAGCTAGTTCTTCTCAGCTATTTTTGAAAGATTAGAGACAGCATTGAAATTGAGTGCAGAGATGGAATCAGTGCTGTCCTGTGGCTGCCTGCAGCCCCAAATCTTTTTGGCAGCCCCAAAGTTCCCTTTAACCACACTACTATACATTCCTGAATGAGCCTGCTTGCCAGTTTGTGAACGTATGTATGTGCATGCATTCACATGCATTAAACTTTTACCAGAAAAAGAAGTAGAAAAGACTCTAAAAGGTGATTGGGTGCAGACAATTGCTATACATGGATTGACCCTTAATTGCAGTCTAAATTTCACAGCATGGATTTATCATTACAAATTAATAAAACATATTTGAGATGATTTTCCAAAAGAGCTTAGGCAACTCTTTGACAAATTAGGATTGTGACCCATTATGTAATAGTTGCTTGTTGACAATGAATAAACCTAGCTGCACTGCAACATAGTTTCAATATTCTTCAACAGCTATTGGAACTTGCTAAATTGAACCTGTATAGATCTCATGTTTTTTCATATTTTCATGTTGCAATCCAAAGCAGTAATATTTTACCCAATATGCCACTGAACATTATAAATATTTATTAATCATTTTAGGAAATAATTTCCCATAATTAATCTCAATAAGGTTATACATTATTCTTCACTTGAGGAACTAATTCATCCTGAAAAGAACTTTCACCTCAGACTAATTATATCATAAACATAGGAGATGTTTCAGTCTGAATACCAAGTATTTTAAAAGCATTGTTTCAACTAGATCTTTTACCTTCAAGACTAGCTCTTCTATGGAACAAGGACTGGGAATGTTGTCCACAGTCATTTGTCTGGACAATCATTTGTCTGAAATAGTATAGGGTTTTCTTCCTGAGCAGGGGGTTGGACTAGAAGACCTCTAAGGTCCTTTCCAACTCTATTATTGTTATTGTTGTTTTTGTTGTTGTTATTGTTGTTGTTACTACTACTACTTTGGAGGAAGGAGAGGGATCAGACAGGCAGCTATTTAGGCCTCTGTGTCACAAGAAGAGTCTCTGCACTGTTGCTGGGTCACTTTCCTATAACAATATCCACTTCACAATAGTAAGCTACTTTATGGGGTATGATCCAGTCTGCCTAAGGTTTGCTGTACAAACTCACCTCAATATCTGCTTCTGAAGCAGCTCTTTTATGAGATGGTAAGATCTGTATGCATGCAATTATTAACAGAGTAGAGTAGAGTAGAAGTAGAGTAGAGTAGAGTAGAGTAGAGTAGAGTAGAACAGAACAAAATAGAATTCTTTATTGGCCAAGTGTGATTGGACACACAAGGAATTTGTCTCCAATGCATAAGCTCTCAGTGTACATACAAACAATAAAGTGTACATACAAACAACAAAGTCATAGATTATAAAGATACAATCAGTATAAAGGTTTTCCACTAAACAAAAATTGTCTTTTTTCAACTAACATATACATCTCTGGTTATAGGATAAACTTTCATAAGCTTATCAACATAAACTTACATACAACAATTTTTTCCAATAGGCTGGTGTCCTCAGATCAAATTAATGGAGAAATTATATTAACTATATTATTTCTAGTAATTGTTTTTTTTTTCAAGGTTTTATTTGTTATTGTGGCTAGGCCAAATTTCTCTATGCTGGAGAAAAATTTTCTATGAAAGTTTATGTTAGAGAGCAAAATGATCTGTTTCAGGAACTACAGCTGAATATTAGTCAAGTATTTGTAATTTCAGGGTTAGGCATCAAAGTATTCCCTCTTCCCCAACCAATATGATCAATGGGAAGGAACTCTGGACGTTATTTAATGATATCTGTTCCCTCTTCCTTTTGTTCACAGTAACTGGAAATCCCATTCTTGCCTATTTTTTGGCAATGTTGTTTTAATTAATTAATTATAGGGGGCTATGTTGCAGTATGCCTGTAAATGTGAGAAACAGCATGTTTAGAAAAATAATAACACATTAGTTAATATGCATGTTGTTTGAGATCCTGTTTTTTAATTCTTTTCATACAGTACTTGCATTGTGATGTTTCACTTCCTGAAAAGGCACACAGTGGTTAGTGAAACCACTAACACACATCATAAAATATTTCATTTGTTTTGAGGTACAGTTAGGATAACTTATATTCTTGAAACAATAGAGCCTTCTGTTATGAGAAAAAATAATCTCCTCAATCCCTTTGTGGACTAAATGAGGTTTTTTTCTTCCTTTGGCACCATATCAAGGTGCTAAAGGACTTATCAGTGTAGAGATTTATTTTTACAGAGATTTCTTTTCACAGACTTTTCATAGAATGAAATGTAAAACTTGAGAACAGCAAACTCATCAGATATTCAGGAGTTGTTTTTTGGATTCTCTTTTATTGTTATAGTACCAATTTTGAGGGAATTTATGTCTATATGTCTAAGACCAAAATAGTGTTGTTTTGCTTGACTTTAAAATGCCAGTCGTCTGAGCTCTGTAGCTTAAATTTAGGAAATATGCTTTATGAGACAGCAGTGCACATTCTGAAGCAGCAGACTGAGCAAAATATTATTTTAGAATACTTCTATACCACCCTTACTGCCATTTTTCAAATCCTTCTTGCAATTGTATATGATTGGCCACTGTAAGCACTTGTAAGGCTAACCAATGTTCCCTCCAACTACCTTCTTCTTAACCTTGCTTTTGTTTCATAGTTAGTAATTACCAAATGAGGGAATATTTTTTTCATAAATTGTAAAACTTCCATCAAGGAACTCAGAATTGGTTCATAAATAGTTAAATCTGTAACAGCTTATGATTCAAAACCTGGTGCTCTCAATATGTGTGGGATCCCAATTCATAGAATTCCTAGTCAATATGATCTGCTTTGCTCATTTCTGAGTAAATTTCAATAGTTTTACAGTGTGCAATTTCTGCATTTATTTCTGTATCCTGGTTGTTTGTGATTTCCCTAATGAGTTGGCTCTACCTTCCATCGTTTTTCCAGAAAGCATAAATGAACAAAAAGACATATTTTATATTTTCCACTATGTAAAATTAAACTTAATTAAAACATAATTCATTGTAATTCTCTCCTTAAGCTTTTAGCAGTGGGAAAGGTCCATGGGTTCTTTTCAATACATATGAAACATCTCTATAAATGCTGGCATATGAAAAAAATATTTGTAACTTTTCCCTTTAGTGTCATTAGTCTTTCTTCCAACTCATTTAAAAAAGATCTTCATGAATTATTGCTGATGTTTTACCCATGCTTGACGTCAAAAGTCCTCATATATGACATAGTCTAGTGCTGGCAATAACAAATACATCATTCATATACACATTGAGATTGTCCTCTTCTAGGCTTTTAAGAAGCACAATGCACGCATCTGAATAGGAAGAAAATTTAATATTTCATGCCATTACTCAATAAATAGATAATTTGCAAAAAACAAACGGTTACCTTCAGGTTTCTATGCATATGATACTTATTAGCTATAAAATGATAGCAAAAAGCAGTGCCTGTATAATATTTTTAAAGAATATTTATATTGTCACAAGGTGCTGCTTGACAGAGGGCAGGGCAATCTCTGGTCTCACAAATTCATGTATTAATTTACAGTTCCAGTTAGAGCCATGCAATACTATTTTGTCATGACTTGTTTAGTCTACTGACTAAACTACTGAACAGTAACAAGTGCTGGTACCTCTCATAGTCTGCTGTTTTTGAAATCAGAATTTTTCAAGGTATTTTTTGATATATTGCCTGAGGACATTTTAACGGCTCCCCATGAAAGTATGCATCATAATACCCCAGAGTAATATTTTTTCTTTACTTTAAACATCTGTGAATTTTGCTAGAGAGGAACAATACTGGTTAGATTAATGTTGTGTGACATAAAAATAAATCTTAGTTTTGGTTGTTTTTTCAAATGGAAGTGCATCATTTTTAAAGAACTTTCCCTCAAATGCAAAATTTTATTTAAGTGAAGTTGTCTATGGAGAGTCTCAGTCATCCAGGTCCTTAAGATGCTTTTTCAAGAGGCAACTGAACTTTCTTGATTTTTCCTTGAAGATGTTTTATTTCTCATCCAAGAAGCTTCTTAAGTTGGATGAGAAGTGAAACATCTTCAAGGAAAAACAAAGAAAGTCCAGTTGCCTCTTGAAAAAGCACCTTTGGGACATTTAAGTGAAGATTGTGAAACTTACATTCTTGTACTACATTCTGTTGAAGGTACCTGTCTTTTGGTAACCATTAGAAATAAGCCGGAACTCAGCAAAGGTATTATAAAGCTAATTGTTAATACTATTAATAGATGCTATGCCCATTTTGATGGGTGATAGTTAGATATCTCTAAAAATAATTGGAGATAAAGTATGGATCATAGGAAATTGTGACTGGACCATAAATGCAGAATCTTTTGATAAAAAGGGTTTTGCTGAGTT